ATTTGAGGACAAGGTTGTTGTTGTCGGGCGTGAGGAGGACGTCTTAAGATGGGTGACAGGTGTTAGGGGTAACCGAGGACAAAGGCCGGTGATTGGCTAAGAGGGTGAGTGCTTAATGACTGGCGTCGCTCAGGCGGGAATAACAAGGCCACATGAGGCTGGGGGCCTGGGGGCGAGGGGTAAAAGCGTGGGGTGAGATAATGAATAGGGACTAATTGATACGAGGATAAAAGGCACAGCGCAAGAGAGAGATGGAAGTCTGGAGTCTGGATAGGAGTTGGAGTGATGGTGCCCCGGGATAGCGAGGAGCAGGAGTAAGTGGAGAAGATACGATAACGGTAGCAGTGGAGAGAGATAGGACAGAGTTCGGTAGTAAGAGAACGTAGAGTGAGTGGTAGCAGTGTTAGAAGTGCATCGGAGAGATACAGAATAGGGTAGCAGCGGAGTGACGGACTCTGGGAGAGCAGGAGAGAGAACGGAGAGACATAGAGCGCCGTTGATGGCAGATGGCGTGACGGAGCGAATGGGGAGACACGGAGCGGTGATGAGGTGTGGACTTTAAAGAGCAAATAAACAGAACGAGAAAGACAACCCGAGTACGAGTCCTACATATATATGTGTGAGTCCATTTGTGCGTGTAACTCTATGTGTGTGTATCAATGGATTTGCGTGTGTATTACATGTGTCTGCCTTTTTCGCCCGGGCAACGCCGGGTACTAACCGCTAGTAATTACATAAATAAGCATAATTTCGATAAATCACGCATTTTTTCATTTTAATTTCATTTGTATTATTTGTTTATTTTTCAAGACCGAATATATACAACACACTGCATGTGAATATTCTTAAATATCATGGTATTAAACGCTTAATTATTGAATATACTGTTACATGATGATGCAGCTCAGGTCAAAAGGTTTAATTGGACTATTTTGCATGTTTTTATTAACAATTACTATTACACCATACGGTCTGGGACAAGCATGTATAAATTTCGATTTAAAGCTTTCGTGACTGCAGGGATTCATCTTCTTGGTTCTTTTGGTAAAGTAACGTAGAAGGGAATAATAAATTAATAAAAATAAAACATCATAAAATAATTCTCACGACGTTTCGGCCACAACGCAAGCAGCCGTCCTCAGGTGAAGAACAGGTCTGTCGGAAAGACAGCGTCTGAATGAACACCACCAAGCTTGGAGCGTATATTTAAGCTGGGTTGGAGGGGGAAGAGGAGCGCCTTGACAAAATAATTTGCAAATCAAGAGGAATTTAGAATATTTATGGGAAATGCGTAGGAGGTGGGCATGGGGTTTCAAAGTCATTATGCCCGTGCATTATGCAGGATTAGCAGCATCAAAGGGAGGGGATAGGGGGTAGCATTAACAAAAGGAAGGAATGTTAATAGTATGCAGCTGCAGTTGCTAAACCACCACGTAAAAAAAACTAAAGTGTATACTACATAGTATCATCAGTATACTAAATATACTCTCCAATAAGCTGAGCTACTATGTCGCAAAAAATATAATATGCTTCCAGCTAAACTTGTTTCCAACGTGGTCCCACCTCTTCACTCCATCGACTGGCCCTGATCTCTTCTGGGCTCCCTCTTATAACCTCTCTCCCACGTGACCCTGACTCCTCCCTCTCGGATCGTCACATCCGGCCTTCCCATTTACGCTCGCATTACAATAGTATAAAATTGTAATGTTTAATACAATGTATAAGGTAATATACAGTATCGTAATTGTATAGTGAATATACAGCAGTGTGGTATATAGTAGGGTGGGTAGAATAATACTTGGTAATATTATAGTCGAAGGTATAGCGTGTGTATAGTAATACAGTATATAATTTAATGTTGGGTTTGTCTATGGCAGTATATAGTACAGGGTAGACCCGTGTGATGTAAGAGAATAAAGTTTAGCTGGAAGCATATTATATTTTTTGCGACATAGAATTGTAATGTATTACTTACTGTTAGTAGCTCAGCTTATTGGAGAGTATATTTAGTATACTGATGATACTATATAGTTTATACTTTAGTTTTTTACGTGGTGGTTTAGCAACTGCAGCTACATACTATTAACATTCCTTCCCTTTGTTAATCCTACCCCCCATCCCCTCCCTTTGATGCTGCTAATCCTGCATAATGCACGGGCATAATATGACTGGTGAAACCCCCCGCCCACCTCCTACGCATTTCCCATAAATATGCTAAATTGCTCTTGATATGCAAATTATTGTCAAGGCGCTTCTCTTCCCCCTCCAACCCAGCTTAAATATACGCTCCAAGCTTGGTGGTGTTTCATTCTTCACCTGAGGACGGCTGCTTGCGTTGCAGCCGAAACGTTGAGAATTATTTTATTGTTTTATTTTTATTATTTTATTATTTCACTTCTACGTGACTTTACCGAAAGAACCAAGAAGATGAAGCATGTATAACTTAATGATAATGCAAGGAATACAACCAAGTCACATCCGACCACCTTTGTCTTCCCAGTGGCTGTCATTGCATGCTGCAGCAGGAATTCATAATAAACAAGGCTGTGGTCAAAAAGCCACACCTGGGGAAATGAAGAACATCTGCGCTCACACAATCTTGGGATTGCCTCCAGAGGGAGGGGAGTTTTATAGGGGTTATAGCATCAAGTGCCAGGAGGTCTGCGGAGCCAGAACCAGGAATGAACTCAGGCTGACCCGCCGGATGCACCACGTGTGCAAAGATGAGGGGATGTTGGACCATAATGTGCCTTCGGTAATTAACCACATGAGCTAGAATCCTATATAAACAGCACCCAAAATCATACAAGTCAGTCTTGCTGAGGCAAACTCCGGGGTATGGTCCTCGAAATCAACCATAAGTATCAAGAGTCTTGCAGAGGCAATGGCTCTTTGTTGCTAAGTGTTGAGTTCTTCGCTGACAGACTCTGAGTATCGCTGAAAGTTTTTAATCTACGTTTTCCCTTATGTTTTGATTCACTTGCAGAGTCAAGGACTTCGAGAAATTGTACTGTACTCAGCTAAAAGTTGTGAGAAGCTAAGAGGTGTGCGAATGCATTTTAAAAAATTATGTGATCAGCCAAGACGTGTGAGAAGTGGAGATTTTAGTTATACACCAATATAGAGTGTGCATGAAATGTTGTCCAAGCTATAGGTTGGAAAAGTTAGTGAGCAAAAGAGCAGAAGAACTCCCGAGTGAGGGCAGGGCACCAAGGGTGCTCGCCCGAAGCAGGCAGCTGCTGAATAGGAATGAGGAGCATAGTGGCCACAGAGTACTCCAACTGCAGCTCAAGCCTGGCGTGCAGATAACATGCACAAAATCATGGCAGCAGCTGATGGCTGACCACGAGCGTGCTGACTCGGATCACTCCAGTGTAGATCGATCACGATGCACAGACAAGTGCGAAGCAGTAGCGAGCAGCAGGGCTGCGAGCGCACTATAGCTGTGGGCCAAGCCTGCCGTTCTGCAAATCGTTGTGGGACTTGAGGTATTGTTTAGAATAAAAACATTAACTTTACATTTATGCACAGTTTTTAACCGTACCTTGTATAGGTTGTGGGCCAAGAATAATCTCAGCTTGCATACCTCACACACCATAATGAGGGAATTGTGTATAGTCGCGTTACCATGAGACAGCCTTGACGTTTTCTATTTGATACGCATCTTCTTGGTTCTTTCGGTAAAGTCACGTAGAAGGGAAAAAATAAAATAATAAAAATTAAAATTATAAAATAAATGTAATGTTTTAATTTTATTATTTCCCTTCTACGTGACTTTACCGAAAGAACCAAGAAGATAAATCCCTGCAGTCAGGAAAGCTTTAAATCGAAATTTATTTGATACACATTTAATGAAAACGCATTCTGTGCGAATATTGCCATTTTGAGGCGTTGCCTATTGTTCTGGTTTAACCAGTGATGTTGAGATTTGACCATTGATGCTTTTATGATCATCCAGTACAGATTGATGAGTACGTATATTTCCATGGGCACTGTTGTTGGAATTCTGATAAGAGTTGTTGAATATTTGAGATTTAAGTTGCTTAGATTTAAAACAGGTTTCCAAGAGCTCCTTTCCTAAATTCGTGCATCATTGTAATGACGAGCTGTATCCTGCGGTGAGATCTGAATCCCGAGACCTGATATAATTACATTTATAAAAGTTAAAGCAAGAATCATAATGTTAAAGCGTGATTCATAAATGTTGAAGCGAGAATCATTGATATTATCACAATTGGTTTTACATACCCCGAAAATACATTTCATTTTTTATCATTATTAATTTTAAATCACAATATGTACAACATCGGGATGATTGGCCAATACTGGTTACATCGTATTGTTTTTTTATTCGCTACAGGAGGATACTGGAGAAGTTATAAGGAAACCCATGCAGAACTCTGCACAGACAGGAGCCAGGGTCGGGAATTGAAATCAGGCGCTTGCTGTGAGGCGACTGCCGGAGGAAAGAACGCATCCAAGAGTTTGACCACCGTGGAGATAGAGTGATGAGATTGGTTAATGTGCAGGGGTGAGAGAGATGGTACTGGACCATGAGGGGTGCCTCCATCTAGAAATGGAGACTAGCTAATGATGACTAACCCAAGTAAATCACGTTTAGATGTTATACTGCAATCTCGTTCGTTTGGTAATATAAACAAAAAAATATTATTTAGCCTTTCCCCCCAATTTTTTCCTGGCTGGCCTGTTGACATAACGATAGATTAGAGAAATACCCTGTTAGAGAATGGCTCACGGAAGTTACCTCTTATCTGCACTTGGGGGCAGCACTTTCCCCACCTGCCCTGCTACAGAAAGTAATGTTAATCATATGACAACTAAACTATGTTTTTTTATTTTCAGAGCTGGAACTTAGATAGACAAATTGAGTGCAAAACGAGTGTTTTGGTGATCGGGCCTATATCATCAACCTAAGACATATCCATAATATTGGTTTGATTGTTATGGGCAAACACTCTCACAGGAGAGTGGCCTGGGAAAGTGACAACTCATTCATTAAACAAAAAACATTCGTCAATAACTCTGCTTTCAACGGAAGAGTTTATAATTGGCAACGTTTGGGGCAATGGCCCTTCTTCACAGGAGAGGTGACCTCTCTGGCCTCTGTGTGCTATGAAGAAGGGGCATTGCACAACATACGTATTGTTTACTTTTTCATTTAAGGCCATAGTGTTATTGACACGTGTTTTGATATTTGGGCTTGTGTATCACTGCAAATGCAGCAGCATCACCAGTTAATTTGTTTGGCTCACTATATATTCAGTTAAAAATCCAATGCTAACCTCAACTCGTATCATCGCCAGCTAAGTGCTCTGACCTCTGAGAAAACCCGGCCACCTCTTGTAAGTGGATTTTAATCCTTGAGATGTTTTTCCATGAAATAAGTAATTATTTGATTTTGCTTAATTATTCAAGAATTTAAATGATAAGTAAATATGGGTCTGACACCCACTTTGTCCAAGCATCAGGGTTGTTTGGCCTGCTGAACCAGTCCAGCACGGCCCAGGAGGGGCTAGGTTGTTTTTCCACTGAAGAAGCCGAGATCATTCTGCCGACATCATGTAAATCGAGTCGGGCACAGATAACATGACGCTATGTCCTCAGTCTACTGGCTGACGTCATGTGTGTAACCGATCTGCTACTACTCTCGTGGATGTGCAATGCCTCTGTGTTGAGTTCTGCCTCCCTTCTCGTCAATGGTCTGGCTGCGCAGAGTTGCAGAGTATGGCCAGTGCAGTTTATTTATACGAAGCTGCAATACGAAATAAATAATATTTAGCCTCCGCACTGCTCGCTCTCTACGGTCGGCCAATACCGCAGGTGGTGGGCGTGTGCCTGGATGAGGCTGCTCAATGAGACGGAGCTACAGGGCAGCGAGGTGGGGATAAACACAATCGGTGGAGATTGATCCTACAAATGAATGCTGACTTGTCAGCAAACACTTCAATCAGGGACAAAATTTTGGTGACAATTACACATGCAATGCATACATTGAGAAGTGGCGACGCCATATTTGAGTTGTGTGCTGACATCGCATGCAATGAACTACTCATTGGCCCCACACCTGCACCCCTGGGCCAGATTCAAATATCTCGTGAGGCCAGCGTAGCGTGGTTCGGTTCAGGCTCAGCATGATAAATATCCAGTGGAAAAACCACCCGTGCCCTGATGGCCCCACACCTATCCGGCTCGGATCCTCCGGTTGGAAACGGTACTGAATCTGAAAAGCCCCGTCTGCCCATGCGCCCTTTGCATGCCGTCACAAACTTCACCGCGGCGGCCTTGCCAGACGTGACGACGCTCCCCAGGTATTCCCGCACGTCACTTGCGCCAACAGCTTCGGAGCTGCCTGCCTCGCCCGCCCATGGCACCCCTCCCCCCGCCACCACAAACGCGCACATCGGCATCAAGAGGCGAAAGACGAATGCCAGCGCCAGCCGCGCCGCAGCCTCCATTGGAGCGCCGGCGATTCTGCCGAGGTCCCGCGCGCTTGGGATCGCGGGTGCGGCCACAACGACGCCGGCGCTACCAATGAACCGCCGGAATTGGTAAAGGCGGTGTCCGAGCAGGGCCCACATTAAGAACGAGGAGCCGCAGGCCACGGAGGCACAGATGGCGCCGAAGCCCCGGAGCCGGCGCACACGAACTGCTAGTGCCCGGCCGAGACAGGCGAGGGTAACGGTGGCGCCGGCGATGGTGAGCACGCGCAGCAGGGCGAGGAAGACGAGCGTTGCCGTAGAGAAGCGGAGCAGCTCGACGTAAAACGCCACCTCTTGGAAGCTTGTAAAGACTCCTGCGGGTTTTTGGTTGGGGAATGCGGTGCCAGAAGAGGAGAATAGAGCTTTGAAGGGTGGCACAAGTTACGTGCTTGTACGGTGGTGCTTGAATGCCTCGGCGACTCAAAGTGCCTCACTAAGAAACTCATCTAAACCGGTCCTGTGCCCTGCTGCAGTATAGTCAAGGAGACCCATAGTGGCAGCTGTCTCTGTTCCAACCTCACGAGATCTTTAATGTCCACTGTGCAGTAGAGAGAACCTAATTATGGTTCATTAATATACCCGCAGGATGAAATAAACTTTGTATTTTACCAGGTAAGTCCCACTGAGCTATGTAGCTCTTTTTCAGAAGCGACCTGGCCACAAATAATAGCTCAACAAATTGGCTTGTCACGTGGAAATTTATAGCAGACAAATACTCTAAACACATATTTCTAAATGTGGAGGGAAAAACCGGAGGACCCGTACAAAAACCTACGTGACCACGGGGAGAGAGAGATATATGCAAACTCCAAATAAACATCAGGCGTCAGTATATGGATTGAACCAACGAGTGAGGTAGTTAACATAAATTACGTATTTCACTCAATAACCCGCCGAGTAATTTTGCTAACACGGTTTGACGAGATTGAGTGCATTTTGGGTGATTTGGTGAGGGGCAGTATTGTATTTAGTGAATGCAATTATTTATCGAATTTTGTGCTTTTTTTTAGGCTCCAGAACCTTTCATAGAAATGTAACTCTTGTGCACTTGAATGACACCTGCAGCTGCATTTTTAATTAATATGGAAATATGGGCATGTCAGAGTTTTTTTCGTGTACTTCAAGAAGTATATGCCAATAATTCCACTGGAACCATTGCCAACACTTTCTTCCTTCTTCCGTTCGTAGCCTTAAACAGACTGTTAGGGTAACTGCTGTTAGCGAGCGCCAATGAAGGCCGGCACGGCACACAAGGGGGGTGGGTGGCCAACACCACGCCTGGCCGCCTTTATCTCCCCAATGGTGATATTTACACATTTCATCAGGTACTCATTTAAGGCTCAGTTAACCAAATACAAAGATCCCCTTAAGAGTCTTAACATACTTTTGGGGCAAGTGCTGCTAGCAATGCCCTAAGGAGGCCCGCAAGGTACACGAGGGGGTGGGTTCCCAGCACCGCACCTGGGCCTCCGTTGTTTCCCCCGTGGTGATGTTTAATTCGCAATGCACCAGGTAGTTATTTGAGGCTGAATTCACTTAAGGACACCCAGGACCCATTCAAATATTCATCACCGGTGTTGACTGCGACTGGTTATCGAACTCTGGCCACCTCAGCACAGTGCCCTAACCGGTACACTCCAGCTGCCCACAAAGCAACACCACCTTCTCCACTGCCACCACCACCATCATCGCACCCACGGCCACCACCTCGTGCTCACCAGTGCCAGTGGCGATGGTGCTGATTGCGCGATTGGCGGCGTCCACCCACTGGAAGTGCGCGGCGACGAGCTGCAGGCGCAGGGCGCAGGCGGCCGCCTCGAGCCACAGCACTGGGCAGCGCAGGCCGGCCAGGCCGTCGCGGTTCAGCGAGTGGAAGAGCTGGCGCGCCGCCTTCACCAGCGTCAACAGCACCAGTAGCACGCATGCTGGCAGCCACGACGACAAGGCCGGGGGAATGGCGAAGACGCGGACTCGGTGGGAGGGGAGGTCGTCATCTGCACACGTGCAATGAGGGACGCAAATCGTGCGACCAGAGTTCTCACTGTAAGCCTGCAGCGGACCTCCTCAATTGTACAATTTTACAATGTGGACTGCTTATAAAGTGCACCCTTGATTTGCACCAAGAGGAACCCGTGATGGTGATTATTATCGAATTTGAATGTAAGAGCGCAATAACACATCAGTTCCACAGGAAACACAAGCAGTTCCTAATGCATGTTATGTGGCAGTCCACTGCTGGATTGGGGGCTTTGTTATCATGCCAGGAGGGTGGTGTCGGGTTATTTGAGTAAACCTAATTGGAATATAACTTGGGAGAAAGATCTTGAATGAAGGGAGTATTCTTGCAGAATGATTGTCTTTGTCGAAATCAACCCGAATTTATCCACCTCTGGAGTCGCGTTATCAGAGATTGCAGTATATTAAGGAAGACCAGAAACGGGCATTGGCTATATTTGTATATAAGAATATTATTTAACCAATTCGCCAAGTTGATAATATTGGTTGGGGGGGGGGGGGGGGTGGTGGATTGAATGCCCCTCACACCAACATTCAGTAGAGTGTCTGACTGAAAGCTTGGCAGCTGGACTCGAGGTGACTTGAGAGATCGAATCCACGAAATCCATCGACTCGGACTGGACTGAGAATTTGCAGGTGCAGGTTGTTGTCGACTGGACTGAGGCTGTGACCAAAGTAAGCGATTGCTGACGACGTGGCTACTGAGCCGCCTGACCATCTCTGGGCGACCCGAGTTGTTTGCGAGCGCCATTTACCATCGGAAGCAAAGCGGGTAGCCATGGTGACGGTGGTAAACAGGTTGAGGTTCGCATTGAAGACACAGAATTCTACGAAGACGACCGCAGTGCGAGAGTCGACCCATGACATCCGCCGGAGACCCGCGATGACGTCGGCGGCGTCTTCGAGGCTGTCGCCCAGCGTCGCCACGTAGCCCGAGCCCGGGTACTCGGCGATGCCTCCTGCGGAAGGTCCGGTTTAGGTTAAAGGTGTCAAATCGTGGGAGTCGTATGACTCTACTTCGCCGTGCTCATGGGTGCAAGGTTCAGTTATTACACAGCTGACAAAAGCGTGGACTTTTAACGTCCAGGAAACCCTTGGAGATTTCCCAGGACAGCAGGAAAACCGAATGCATGGAGTCCCCCATACCAAGTGGCAGCGGAGCCTCGTCTGAGTAGCTCCACCACGATGCAGGGGACGACGCAAAGGAGGAGATCTCCTCTTGCGTGGGCGTGTACGGTGACCAGGCCTCGCCGTACATCGAGGAGTCTTCCTGCCACTGCGTGCTCCCGTCCACGCCCGCGTCAAGGGGGTTCAGTGCCCCCTTGTGCACACCGGACTCTGCTGGCACAGCGCCCCACGAGAGAGAGCGCCCAGTAAATACGACATGGAAAGTATTACTTCGGGCCAACTTTGCTCCAATGCTTCTAACCTTATGCCAGCATTGGCTCGACGTTGGCGTGTTTATTGGGTGAGTGCATGACGGTGACGAGCGGTAGCGCATTCACAGCTTGTTGCACAGAATCCCGGTTCGTGACCAGTGTAATCCCGATTAATACTGCAGTGTGCTTATCTTACCTATAAACGTCACTTTTTGTCTGTCTGTCAGACAGACGGACAGACCGTCTGTCTGTCTGTCCGTCCGTCTGTCTGTCTGTCCGTCTGCGTACGTTCCCTTCCGGGGGATTTAGCTCTCGGACCGTGGGGTTCGCCGAGATTAAATTTAGCAGGTGGGCACGCCCCCGGCCCCACGGTAAACTTAGGCATTTCCGATTTTTCGTCTCTAAACTTTAAATCGGACCGATTATCGATTTAGTGCGATTTCTCTTTATTTATTTATTATTGCCGACCAGCACATAATGAAGCACGCCGTTGCGCATGAGTGAAGGCGGTTGCCCCTGGCAACGGGCGGTTGGCCCCTGGCAACGGTTAGCAACGCCGCTTCGAGGTGGACGCCATTTTTAATTCCCGTTAAAATATGCGCACGCATTAACACGCGACGCTGAGGTAAATTCATCAAAGTTTCACGTCCTCTTCACTCCCCACCCACCCCCCAATGTGTGCAATCACTATCATAGGGTCGGTAGATAATAAAATAATAGCGATTAGACAGTATTATTGTAGCGCGGGGGGGGGGGGGGGGGTGACGGCCACAGCACCCAGCCTCGGCCGGGTGGGCAATCTAGGTGAGGCCGGAGGCTCTGCACGGTACTAGGCCTCCACACCCCATACGTGTCAGGCGACGACTTTGTGGTATAAACTCGATATACTCAGCGTTGCCCGGGGGGAAAATACATTTAAAATCTTCTGAAAACTTTAAAACATTACATACCAATGAAAATAAAACTCTGTAATTACTTTTAAACCCGACTCGCCAAGAATCGATTCTCTGATTCTCGCAAAGGAATCGATGCTTGTAGATTCATTCAGAATCACCCTGTTCCCGTTTAAAATAAGTTGATTATAGAGTCGATATAAACTGCTACGAATGGGAAATATCCGGCGTTGACCGGGGCAAACATATTATTAAAAACTCCTGAAAACTTTCAAACATAACATACCATACCAATGAAAATAAAACTCTGTAATTACTTTTAAACCCGACGCGCCAAGAATCGATTCTCTGAATCGCGCAAATGAATCGATGGTTGTAGATTCATTTAGAATCGCCCTGTTCCCGTTTAAAATAAGTTGATTATAGAGTCGATATAAACTGCTACGAATGGGAAATATCCGGCGTTGACCGGGGCAAACATATTATTAAAAACTCCTGAAAACTTTCAAACATAACATACCATACCAATGAAAATAAAACTCTGTAATTACTTTTAAACCCGACGCGCCAAGAATCGATTCTCTGAATCGCGCAAAGGAATCGATGGTTGTCGATTCATTTCGAATCGCCCTGTTCCCTTTATAACAAACTGTGTCTCGCAGACACACACATTCACACATTTTGCTTTTACATTTAACATACAAAACGTCAGCATGTACTGCTGTCATCATAGGCAAAAATATATACACCCTCACCACTCTCCCTCACCACTCTCCCTCACTCACCCTCACCACTCACCACTTACTATCACCACTCACACTCACCATCACTCACCACTCACCCTTCTCCCTCAACACTCACGCTCACCCTCACCAATCATCCTCGCCCTCACCACCACCACTCATCCTCACCACTCACCCTCACCACCACCACTCACCACCACTCACCCTCACCTCTCACTCACCCTCACCACTCACCCTCACCACTCTTCCTCACTCCTCACCACTCACGCTCACCCTCACCACTCACTAATCACCCTCACCCTCATCACTCACTACTCACCCTCACCACCACTACTCGCCCTCACCACTCTCCCTCACCACTCACCCTCACCACTCTCACAACTCACCCTCAGCACTCACCCTCACCATTCACCCCTTTCCCTTACCACTCACGCTCACCACTGACAATCACCAACCATCCTCACCCTTACCACCACCACTCTCCCTCACCACTCTCCCTCACCACTCACCCTCACCTTAACCACTCACCCTCTCCACTCACCCTCATCACTCACCTTCACCACTCACCCTCACCACTCACCACTCTCACAACTCACCCTCAGCACTCACCCTCACCATTCACCACTCACCCTCACCACTCACCGCTCTCCCTCACCACTCACCCTCACCGCTCACCCTCACCACTCACCATCACTGTGGTGGTGGTACCTGCTATCATGACAGTAGTACAAGCTGACGTTTTGTATGTGTAATGTCAAAATCTAAATTAGTGAAATGTTAAGCATACTTGGCGACACGTAAGCAAGTTTTTTTTAAAACGGGAATAGGGTGAGTGGTGGTGGTGAGGGTGAGTGGTTAGGGTGAGTGGTGAAGGTGAGGGTGAGTGCTGATTGGTGATTGGTGAGGGTGTGATTGGTGAGGATGAGTGGTGAGTGGTCAGGGTGAGGGTGAGTGGTGAGCGATTAGGTGAGTGAGGGTGAGTGGGCAGGGTGAGTAGTGAGGGTGAGTGGTGAGCATCAGTGGTGAGCGTGACTGGTGAGTGGTGAGGGTGAGTGGTGAGGGAGAGTGGTGAGGGAGAGTGGTGAGGGAGAGTGGTGAGGGTGAATGGTGAGGGTGAGTGGTGAGGGTGAGTAGTGAGTGGGAGGGTGAGTGGTAAGTGGTGAGGGTGAGTGGTGATTGGTGAGGGTGTGATTGGTGAGGATGAGTGGTGAGTAGTGAGGGTGAGTGTGAGTGGTGAGCGGTGAGGGTGAGTGGTTGTTGTGAGGGTGAGTGGTGAGGGTCAGTGGTGAGGGTGAGTGGCAGTTGTGAGTGGTGATAGGTGAGCGGTTAGGGGTGAGTGGTGAGTGGTGAGCGTGAGTGCTGAGGGTGAGTGGTGAGGGTGAGTGCTGAGTGGTGAGGGTGAGAGAGTGGTTAGTTTTAAGGGTGAGTGTTGAGGGTGAGTGGTGAGGTTGAGTGGTAAGGGTTAGTGGAGAGTGGTGAGTGGTGATTGGTCAGTGGTGATTGGTCAGGATGAATGGTGAGTAGTGAGGGTGAGGTTGAGTGGTGAAGTTGAGTGGTGAGGGTGAGTGGTGAGGGTGAGTGGTGAGGGTGAGTCGTGAGGGTGAGGGGTGAGGGGTGAGTGGTGAGGGTGAGTGATGATGAAGAGTGGTGAGGTTGAGTGGTGAGTAGTAAGGGTGAGTGGTGATGGTGAGGGTTAGTGGTGAGGGTGCGTGGTCAGTGGTGAGGGGTCAGGGTTAGTGGTGAGGGTGAGTGGTGATGATGAGGGGTGAGTGGTGAGGGTGAGTGGTGAGTGGTGACGGTGAGTGGTGAGGGAGAGTGGTGAGAGAGAGGGGTTAGGGTGAGTGTTGAGGGTGAATGGTGAGGGTGAGTGGTGAGGGTGAGGTTGAGTGGTGAGTAGTAAGGGTGAGTGGTGATGGTGAGGGTTAGTGGTGAGTGGTAAGGGTGAGTGGTGAGGGTTAGTGGTGAGGGTGAGTGGTCAGGGTGAGTGGTGAGGGTGAGTGGTGAGGGTGAGTGGTGAGGGTGAGTGGTGAGGGTGAGTGGTGAGCGGTGAGGGTGAGTGGTTGTTGTGAGGGTGAGTGGCAGTTGTGAGTGGTGATGGGTGAGTGGTGAGTGGTGAGCGTGAGTGGTGAGGGTGAGTCGTGAGGGTGAGTGCTGAGTGCTGAGGGTGAGTGGTGAGAGAGTCGTTAGTTTTGAGGGTGAGTGGTAAGGTTGAGTGGTGAGGGTTAGTGGAGAGTGGTGAGTGGTGATTGGTCAGTGGTAATTGGTCAGGATGAATGGTGAGTAGTGAGGTTGAGTGGTGAGGTTGAGTGGTGAGGGTGAGTGTTGAGGGTGAGAGGTGGTTGTGACGGTGAGTGGTGAGGGTGAGTGGCGAGGGTGAGTGGTGAGGCTGAATGGTGAGGGTGAATTGTGAGAGTGAGTGGTGAGGGAGAGTGGTGAGGGTGAGTGGTGAGGGGTGAGTGGTGAGGGGTGAGTGGTGAGGGTGAGTGGTGAGGGTGAGGGGTGAGTGGTGAGGGTGAGTGCTGACGAATAGTGGAGAGGTTGAGTGGTGAGTAGTAAGGGTGAGTGGTGAGGGTTAGTGATGAGGGTGAGTGGTAAGGGTGAGTGGTGAGGGTTAGTGGTGAGGGTGAGTGGTCATGGTGAGTGGTGAGGGTGAGTGGTGAGCGGTGAGGGTGAGTGGCAGTTGTGATTGGTGATGGGTGAGTGGTGAGCGTGAGTGGTGAGGGTGAGTGGTGAGGGTGAGTGCTGAGGGTGAGTGGTGAGGTTGAGTGGTGAGAGAGTCGTTAGTTTTGAGGGTGAGTGGTGAGGGTTAGTGGAGAGTGGTGAGTGGTGATTGGTCAGGATGAATGGTGAGTAGTGAGGGTGAGGTGGAGTAGTGAGGGTGAGGTGGAGTGGTGAGGTTGAGTGGTGAGGGTGAGTGGTGAGGGTGAGTGGTGAGGGTGAGTGGTGAGGGTGAATGGTGAGGGTGAGTGGTGAGGGAGAGTGGTGAGGGTGAGTGGTGATGGTGAGGGGTGAGTGGTGAGGGTGAGTGGTGAGGGGTGAGTGGTGAGGGTGAGTGATGACGAAGAGTGGTGAGGTTGAGTGGTGAGTAGTAAGGGTGAGTGGTGATGGTGAGTGGTGAGGGTGAGTGGTGAGTGGTCAGTGGTGAGGGGTCAGGGTTAGTGGTGAGGGTGAGTGGCGATAGTGAGGGGTGAGTGGTGAGTGGTGACGGTGAGTGGTGAGGGAGAGTGGTGAGGGAGAGTGGTGAGGGTGAGTGGTGAGGGTGAA